TCCATATCTGAAGCTTCAGATTCCAGGAAAAGAGCATCATGTCTCAAATAACACTGCAGGACTTACTCCCTTGACTCCGCTTTTGCCAGTTGATCTTAGCAGTAAGGGAAAGATGGGCATCCTCCAGAAAACAAACATGGATTGAAATACTGGTAATGAGTATGGAGAGCAAAAAAGAAATTGAAAAGGATACAAATGACTTGACAGTCCTTCTATCTAACCATGGAACAAGACAGTAACCAATGAGATAGCTACAGTAAAAATACAATTTTTTTAAAGCTATATCTATTTATACACCATTATGTACACTTTGAAACAAAAATATTAGCAGAATGTAATAAGAGAAAAGAAAGAAAATATCTTTGTGGAGTTGATTTTCTACTGTCAGGTCCACAACAAGCTGTTAACTCTCACAACTGTGGGATTTAGAAGCAACCTATTACTTCCCCTGAAGAAAATTGACTAAATCAACTAGATTGCTACTTAAGCCACTCAGCTCATCTGAAAAAAAAAGTCTCCATTATATAAACAACATGAAATATAAATTATTTAGAACTATATAGTTTATCCTAAGAATTACCTACAATTTCATTTCAGTTACTTATTAAGTTTCTAGCATAGGTTAGACTAAGCAATTTGCTAAGAGAATGCAAGTGGTTAGGTAAGAACCCACACAGCTGCAAAATTTTGTTCTTCAAATCTATTAAGAGTGAAAGTAGTGAACAGAATCCACGAAAGTGCTAGAATATGGGAAAAAACCCAACACCATGTAAACTGAAACTGAAGTTCTTTTGACACAGAGTAAACTGTCTGAAATTACTGTGTAACATCTTTAGCAGTTCCTCTCACTCTTATCCTTTGAGGAACATACTAACCGCAACTTTTTTCACCCCTGACATTTAAAACTCAGCTTTTGGTCCAGCTATGGATGAGTTTGTATATGACAAGAACAATGGCCAGTAAAACATTTTACCTCCTCCTTAGACCCTGAGATTTTTGTAAAAGAGGTGAGGCAAACAAGATTCTCATATATATATATAATTGGTAGCCAGAAAGATGCTTGAAGCACACCAGTTCACACCAGTTAGTGCTAAGCAGTGCATGCCAAGTGTCAACACTGTCTCTCTAAAATTCCCCCTCACCAGGAGGCTGGATCCTGGGAGGGGACACAGGCACAACAGCTGACCAAAAGTGATTCCCATAGCATATGGTATTTGCTCAGCAATACAAGCCAAGAGAAAAGAGAAGGGAGAAGACAGTGTGAGAGGTGAGGGGAGTATTCCTTATTTATGACACACCTTCTGGAGCAAACTATGCATGCTGAAGCCCCAGTTCCCAGGAAGTGGCCACACACTACCTACTGATGTATCTTTTGGTTTCCTTTGGTTCCATGTGAGGACTTTGCTTTTGCTTTAATAAACTGCCTTTATCTTGACCCACAATTTATGTCTTCAACCTTATTTTCTTTCCTCTGTTCTGCTGAGGAGGGGAGTGTCAGAGTAGTGTGGTGGGCACCTGGTGTTCAGCCAGGGCCATCCCACTACACTGGGAGAAAATAGTGGGAATATTTTTTTCAGAATTATGCAATAGCATGGAAACTCACAGACGTCTGGGAAATCACAGTGCAGCTAAACTTGATGCAACTAAGTTTCAAGAAATGCATGCAAATTAGCTTTCTAGGGGTACCAGAAGTCTTAAAACATTTCTTCAAAGAATTCCACAAGAGGCCTAGCAGGACAGGTACACTGGTGTTATCTATCCTTGTACAGATGAGATGTAGACAGAGAAAAAAATACTGAGGAATATCACCTTTCAGTCCTCTATCACTGCCCATTGAAACGTTAGTGTCAGGACTCTCACAGACTGTTGATGCTAAACTCCTGAACAGAGATTGACTGCATGAAAGGCTATCTGCCAGTAAGATCCACAACAGTCAGACTATTAATTTTAATTTGCCATTAAGGTCTTGCACATAGGTAGAAAAAAAGATGATACTAATGCATCAGCTGCTGCATTTGACATCATGTTTTCAGTCAGTGAAGCACTCTCAATGTTGTGTGAACTGCAGTGGAAACCTGGATTCTGAACCCATGTACCAGACAGACTATGAAGCCAAAAGCAAAATTGATCCAAAATTTCAGAACATGCAAACCAATCCTAAATCTGCTTAAGCAGTACTGCAGACTCTCATTCTAGTTTCCATCAAGAGAAATATCTGTCTTAGACTACTAGGTACCTTCAGAGAGACCTCAACAAGTTGGAGAGCTGGCAGTCACCAGCCATATGAAGTTAAACACTGTGAAGTGCCAGATTCTGCACTTAGGATGGGACAACTGTGGATGTACAGACAGACTGGGGAATGAGGCTGGAGAGCAGCACTGAGGGAAGGGACCTGGTCAGCAGAAAATTGAACACAAGTCAGCAGTGCCCTGGCAGCCAGGAGGGCCAACCCTGTCCTGGGGGGCATCAGGCACAGCATGGCCAGCTGGGCAAGGGAGGGGATTGTCCCACTCTGCTCTGAGCTGGGACAACCTCACCTCGAGTGCTAGGGCAGTTTTGGGTGCCACAATACAAAAAAGACATAAAGATATGAGAAAGTGTCCAAAGCAAGGCCACTGGGATGATGAAAGGTCTGAAGGGGAAGCTGCCTGAGGAGTGGCTGAGAGCACTTGGTCTGTTCAGCCTGGAGAAGAGGCATGAAGCTCAGTCAGGGAAGGTTTAGGTTGGATATCCATGGACAGGGTGGTTGAACACTGGAACAGGATCCTCAGGGAAGTGGTCACAGCACCAAGACTGTCTGAATTCAAGAAGCATTTGCACAATGCTCTCAGGCACAGGGTGTGACTCTTGGGGTGTCCTGCACAGGGCCAGGCATTGGACTTGATGATCCTGATGAGTCCCTTCCAACTCAGCACATTCCATGACTCTAAGAATCTTCATATGCAGCTTAAGTACTTTTCCTTAATATATGAGGGAAAATTAGGCCTCATTTCTTACAGGGGAGAGAACCCAAAGACCTCAGATAAGCCTGGACTGCACAGAAAGTTAATTGCTTATTATAAACAAAAAGGTACATGCAGTTACGGGGAGTAATACTGCAACATAATAGTTATTTCATAACTCATTCACATTTTTCAGCCTGGACAACTGAGATTTGAATCTGTAAAAAACACCTCATAAAAAAAACTTAAAAAATGAAATTATAGAAAATTATGTACTGGAAAAATCTCCACTGGCCTTTTTTCCAATTTAATTTCTAATCACTTCATCTCTAAAGGTATTATTTTTGAGAAAGAGTATTGCAACACTCCAATAGAGCCAGAAAATTATTGCAACAAATTGAGAGAATTACTAGGATGGTATATATTACATAAAAAATAGAAGTCTAGACTTTGACTCCTTTTGATTGGATGCTGTCTTTTTGGGTAATATGACACTGTATTTTAGTATATGGCCACTACCTATGTCTTCACATTTAGGGCTGCACATGAATACAGCTTTAAAACTGAGCATGAATTCCTGTTTTACTCTAAGACAGAGAGTTCTCTTCTGAATAGTCACTGCTGCCTTCCAAAGTTTGTCTTTTAATGACTTTTTAATTGGAAACTTACAAAGGAATGAAAACACAATTTCGCATCAGCAACACTATTTCTCATTGTTAAAAATTTCTTGCAAAACACTATGTATTGGAAAAGAGCAGAACATGCCTAATTTGTGTATTGGCAATTTATTCTACCAGCGTAAGGCTCTATGACAGGCTTTATATCCAGTTGCCAAGAAATAATTTTCAATCAAATGTCAATTTAATTACATAGTACTCTTCCTTCTCTGATTTCACATAGATACAACTTCTCTGAGAAGAAAGCAAAATTTGAGTCTCACAATATGTCTTCACCACACTATCAAACTGTAGGCACCTAGTGTATCAGAATGATTACTGATAGGTAACAGAAGATGTACATCACCCAAAGAAATACTAAACACTCTCCATCCTGCTTAGATTTTTACATTTGTGCATTCAATTAATTTCTTCCCAATCACAGTTATGACTATTAGAAAGAACAGTGTAAGATTGCTTTAATTACCCGGTCAGAAAAAGACTGCAAGGAAGAATAGAACTTTAGTTAAATATTTTTGAACTCAGGTTGCTACAAAATTGCTTTTTACTCAGTGTTACACCATCCCAAATCAAACATGCTTTCTATTTAAGTAGTACAATGCATAACAAAATACTTTCAAAACAATATACATTTCTGTTCTTCAAGAAATTTTATCTTACGAAAAAAGAAAACACTCACAAGGTTTATTCAGCATGGCATTGGAAATGTGTCACTACCTTCATGCTCATCCAGGTGCTTATCAATTGATCCTTACCTGTATCACCTGGAAAAATGCTCTGACAGGTAAGATTACTAATGTTTTAGGGCCAAAGCAGACTAAAATTCAGCAAAACATAATCATCTTGGCAAAGTAAAATTCAGCAAAACATAACCATTTCATCTAGAAATACCATTTCCAAACACTAAAAACTGAAAAATGATTGGGGATGAGTTGTTCATTCAAACCGGGGAAAGAATTTAAATAGAACCCATTTTTTATCTCTACCTTCTGGCATGATTTGGCTTCCCTGGCACAGCCTGACTTCAAAGAAAAATATCAGCAAGGTAATACAGTGGAATAAACTGAAAAGCCAAACAAAAAATAGCTATAAAAAATTCACAGCAAGAAGTAAGCAACCAGGATAAAATACAACGCATTTATATGCTGAGAGGGAGAAGAAAACACTCAGATGATTCAAATGACTCAGAAAAAGACAGACAATTCAGAAATACATTTTATGTCTTTACTGAATGTACACAATACAAAGAATTGCTAATAGTGCATTAGACTGTTTATACCGTTTTTACACTGTATTTTTATACTGCTTTTACATTGTTTTTATGCTTTCCTCACGTATTTTCATAATGATATTTATTTATTTTGTAATTAACCAAATTTACCAGATTCCATGGTCATCTGAAGTAATCCATCAAGAGCACTGGAAAGCAGACTTGCACTGGATACTTTTAGGTGACTTAATACAACAGGCACACATTGGTATTCCAAAAATAAGGCCTTCCCTTCATCTGTCTTCAAGTCTGCGCGAAGGGACTCAAATGCTTGAGCCAGGTAATCCACTGAAAATATCAGAATACAAGCAATAAAACTTCTATAATCATTGTTTCCTTAAGCCATGTGAAATTATCTGACAAGTTACCATGGCAGATACACACTTAAAAGTTAAAATAGCTGAAAATATTAAATTTACTTTTTATTTAAAGATACCCTCTGCCTATTTTTATTCCTTAACAATTTATTGTGAGTGGAGAAAAATGCTATCTGCAATTCATATGTTTAACACATAGTTTGAAATAATGTTGGTTTCAACATCTGGGAAACCTCTATTTAGGGAGTCAGTGGCTGATTTGTCTGAGTGAGAGCAATTATTTTCATTAGAGCAACTAGTCCCATTCCTTCTATAAAAAGCTGTAGTTTTAGCATAAACATTTTATATCCTCATCCACTGTGAGAAATTATACAAAGGATGTAGACTAAGTGAACCAATCTATTTTCTTAACTTCCTGCTGTCAAATCTTCCTCAGTATCTTGGAATTGCACTGATCATCTGGAGCACAGAAAATTAAGGAGAAGGAAACAATTTATCCTAGTGCATAAGTTTAACTACGGTGCCATCTGCTGGATACTGACGTTCTGAAGGAATGAGGACATATGGTCAAACCAAATCTGCTACTTTATCACCAGATCATTAGTGCCATGTGGTCAGAGTGATCAAAATTCATTCACAGTGAAATCTGACATATGTTTAACAACAGATCATATTTTCTGTGTTACAGAAGGCAGCAGCAAAAAGCAACCATGAGAAACTAAACTGATTCATTCTCATCTGTTTAGGGTAAATCAGTCTCTGCAATGACTAATTTTTCTATTTCAGTTCCTCTTGCATTGTTTCTATCAAACATTCCTAAAATGTGAGTCTCAATTTGAGATTAATCATGCTTCACCAAAATATGTTGACTGAAATAGTTCCTTCCAACAGCTGGAACACTGTGTTAGTTCATGAATGATGTCAGAATGGTCTTCCACCATATTTTAATCCTGTGTTTACTATACATACTCACAATATAAATACTGCACAGGTCATTAAGCACAAAAATGTACTAATCTGTTTAAATATCTAATCCAGAAGCACGACTTCCATGAGAAAATACTCTATTAATTATTTATGTATTTAAAATCTTTGGCATTCCTGTTTTGTGTCAACCAGGCTGCCACAGATTGTAGCAATTTGGTGACATGGATATTTGCTATCTTAGAAATGCCCCCAAATTTAACATATTTCATGCAAGTGACTAAAAAAAATCAGATGCCAAAGCAGACATCTGATTTTGACATTTTAGCATGGTATTTCAGGAGTACCTCGAAAATTAACATCTCTCTAACCTGTATCAATCTTTTCATGTATTGACATAAGTAGTGTGTTACTTGTAAATATATTTTAAAATACAAACTATTCTGAGAAAAAATGGTAGCAAAAATAGAAACATGGAATAATTTAGGTTGGAATCTAGTCCAACCTTCCTGTCAAAAGCAGGACCATCTCTGAGGTTAGGTTAGATTGCTCAGTTGTAACTCCACTATAAAATTACTTGCTATCAAAATGATCCGTGCTTTTAAAATGTCTTTGAAAAGGGAAAAAGAAGTGGTTAGTACCACAAAGAGTTGGAAAAGGGTTATAGAGATGTTCATTCTAATGCTATCCTTGTAAAATTTATTCTTGCAGAAAATCCCAGTTATGCAGACACACAGTACTGCTAAGATGCTGCAGGTAAGCAGCAATCACATCTTACACCTGCTCTTAATGGTATAGAATTACTTTTCTGCCTGACTTCCATAAAAAGGGATCTGCAACACCTTGTTCCCTGTTTCTCTTGAAGAAAGGTAAGAGTTCATAACTGAAGATAGCAGTTAACAAATCAGCTGAGAGAAGAGTTATTTTATTCTTTAAGCTGTATTTTCTACATTTTTTCTCACACTGTTCAGACACAATCTGATTAGTGTAATCTCACAGTGTCTACTTTGAAACCTTTATCTTCTCCCCTCTCTTCAAAATGCTGACTTACCTGATAAGTCATCACGTTAAAAAACACACATAAATTCTAACATAAAAATAGCAAGACTCATACTTGTATATTTTCTTTCACAATACTCAAGTAAAATCACTTTTCACTAATAAAGTATAATAGACCCTACAGTATCATTAAAATGCTTTTTGTCCAGGCACATGACTGAAATAGATAGAGTAATGTTAAAAAATCTTGACTTACCTTGTTTCACTGTTTTAAGCACAATCAAAGTAGACAGAAACCTCAGAGGCATACAGAAACTCTTAAAGAAAGCTGTTGACTTTGATTTACTTTCTGTAGACTGTTCAGAACTGTGTGGGTTTCCCTTACACACTATGCCTTTGAAAATATCTTCACCAAGTCTCCTCATGGTTGATCTCATTGTTGCATGCTGCTTCAAACAGTGCATACAGTTAGTGCAAACATTAAAACTTGACGTACATATGATCTCCATGCAATTAAATATTAAATTGTAAATGCTTTGACCACGCATAGGAATATAATCAGTATAGGAGATACTGCTTTATGTTCCAGAAGTAGTTGAACAATATTAATATTGTGCCTTATCAACACACACTTCAGCAAGACACTAATTAGTGAGTGTCCTGAATACTCTGATGTTACTTAAGTTGCCTCTGGTTCCAGAAAAAGCTGTTTTAGTCAACTCAATTTTGTAAGCTTGCCTGAAGTTATATCCTTTAAAAGCATTTACAGAATCAAGGTCTAAATATGAAGCTTAAGAACACTGTACAGGTAACATCTATTAGATTTTCATCATAAACTCTACAGAAATATTTCCACAGAATCAAACTTCACCATATGCTTGTTTAAAATATAGTTACTTAGTAGAACTGAACACAAACATCTTACTATTGTATTGAATTTAAACTCAGGGTATTTACAAAGTTTCCAGCATTTGATTTATCAAATGAACACTGACAGCACTATGCTGGGTCTTTACTGTATGACTACTGTGTTTTTCTTTATAATATTGCTAAGTATTTTCTTATGGCAATCTAGTCAAAAAAAGCAAGGAATGACTTCTGGTTAGACACCCAGCAGACAATAGAAATATCAAAATTTCTTCACTGCTTTGTCACTCACTTCCATCACTTTCAACAAATCTCACTCATAAAATACAGAATAACTGCCTTCTCCAGTGCAAGTTTTGTTAATACATATGCAAAAATATAGTTTCAGATGTGCTTAGATATCACAAGAGAGATCACATATGTAGGAAAACTACATTTAGATACACAATGCAAAATTTAAATTTAACTTGAAAACTAATTTGTTTTTCATTTGCCACCTGTCTGTGGTGAACACTATGAATTTGTTTTACAAAGACAGAAGTTTCTTCTCTATATGCTACCTGAAAACATCAATTTTTCATATGTATTTAATATGCAAAATCCATTAATACCTTCTGTGATTTTTTCTTAAAAACATACTGCATGAGGACTACTTGTCTTACCTGTATATCAGATGTGTCTAACTGTCTTATAGACCAGTAAATAAATTTAAGCACAGGCACATGCAGTTTAGGATTCACATATGGCATCCACTGGAGTTGCTCGGTAGCTATAGGCAAAAGCTGCAAAAATATACAAAAACAGAATTACATGCAGTATATGAACTATAAACTAAGTGTAAGTGAAAAACAAACAAACAAACCTCCTAACTTTCTCTTGGAGTTTATCAGATTACATATGCAAATATTCTCTGGGCAGATCCAGTACAGCTAACAGAATTTTAGGCATACACAGGTTCTAAATTTTATATAGGTTTGCATGTGGGAGTGGAGATACATGTGAGCTCAATTTCAGTAAATACAATCACAGTGGCTTTTATATAATGAATGAATACAAAAAAGTGAATTTTCTGAACACCTCACCAATTTCTAAATCCTGGTATCACAAGAAAAAACAGTAGAGATGTTGAAATACAGCACAGCATCACCTTTTATTGGTGGTAAATTGAAATTTTAGTATCTAAATAGGCATTAAAACATTTTAAATTTGACCTGGTGATCTTGAAACAATGTATCCCACATAAAACACATGACAAGCTATCACCTTACAGAAGACACTTGAAATAAAATGATGAAACTCTTAGGTTTAGACAAGGCACCACATTTTTTATTAAAAATTATCTGTATGCTTTACAAATGACAAATTTTCTATTATATCTAACTGCTGGGATGAATATTGACTTACTAACAATTATTTTGTTTCAATTACATGCTTACCTTTTATAGTCTCAGAATCATTTAAAACACACTGAAATCTGAAAACATATTAACACAAGCAAACAATCCAAACCCGTTTACCTTCATACACTTTTCCTGAGTACAGGTGGTTTTTGAACTCTGGGTAACCATAGGTTTATGACTGTCCTCTCTCTCCTCTTGTGCTTTCATTTTGCTAAGATGCTGGTCAGAGATCCAATCCATAAGATAAGTTAAGAGCTCATAGACTTGTGAATTCAATGGTAGCTGTAATATATTCACAACATCAGATATTTCAGCTTTCAATTTAATACTTTTTCTAAGCTAAAACATTAATAAACTGAAATACATGAGAGTACATTAGCTATGAAATATTATGCACAGTAGAAAGGATGAGAATTTTATGCCTGATAAAATCTGAGAGTTACTGTAGTGTCAGCCTGTAGAAAATATATTCAAGGAGACAGTGATCTTGAATAGGCCATGTGTGCTCTGCTGGACCTTGTACCTAAGGTATTAGAAGCCTGTATATATTAATGTAACTGTTACTTACAGTATCTCTGGGAAAAGTAACCTGTATGCAGATCAAAGATTGGAAGGTGGCAGTCCTGACTAGGAGACAACTGTACCTCAAGGAGTCAGAGATCCACACCACAGTTAACTTGGTGCAGTCTGTGCTGTGCGGCACAGATCAACCCAGTGCAGTTTATCCTGTGACAGGCTGCAGGATAAACTCAGGCAGCTCCCTCTTGCTACTGCTGATCCTGCCTGGCCTTGGCCTTGTCTAAAAGGGCAACAAGCTCTTCTCCCATGAATGTCCTTCATGAACAGAGCTGTTTCCTTGCAAGAAAATTATATATGTTGCATGGCCAAAAAGGAGGGGCTTCTCTCAATGGACAGACTCTGCTCAGCATGCCCTGGGAAAAGTCCACCAGGGCTCCATTTGATGCTGCACAAACACATTTCCAGCATCTAAGGGGACACAAGATTTACTCACTCTCTGTATTCCTCCTCCCACTCTACCTTATTAAAACAGCCATTTAATTAAGCCATTTGTTGACAGGCCTTTCTTGTAAAGACCCAGAAGAAACCCTGCAGCATTTCTTTCTCCCACACCTCACTCCCCAGTACAAAACAAACACCTATTGTGATGGTTTCTGGGTGTGAAAAACACACATCCATAACTTATTTTGCACTTTGTCAAATGGTAGTAAAACAGCTTGGAAAAAAAAAAATTGCATACAGAATCCCTACACTTTATAATTCTGGACAAATGAATTACAGTAGAAAGCAAGTCTTTAATGTCCTTCACATGAGGAGGATTATTTCAATGCACTAGACTTCCTTTGTTTCATTTCATGCAATCCACTGTTAATAAATTTAAGTGGTAGTATTGTTTAAAAAAAGAACAAAGACTTCATAAAACTCTCATCTTGGCTCTACTACACTGCAATGTAATACTTTACAAAAGAAATCCAGAGATACCTGAAGACAGGCTGCATGAAAAATCCCCTAAAGACCTCAAAAGTTTTCTTCTATCTACCTTCAGATAACTCTTTTCCTTTTCACTCAGGACTGTAACTACTGATCCTATTTGTATTTCATGTGCAACCAAAGTATGCTAAAACCTATATAAAGAGAATTTGTTGGCTATATATAGACAGCACAGTTTTAAGGCATTCATTGTAGATCAATTAGATAGGGTGGTGTGAATTATCTTTCTCATATCACAGTTTACCTCTAGCTGGAAAAAAAAAAGCATAACCAGCTGGGAGATGTTGGCAGAGTAAATGGAACTACACGGAGAAAGAAAGAATTTCATTAAGTGATGTAAGAATATTTTTTAAGGAAAAAAACCTGATTGTTTTGGAACTGAATGAAACAACTTAGAAAGTGAATGAACATCGCATTTAATCTCTGTCCTTCCCTAAAGATTATTTCTCAAAAAAATAATAGTAGCGTATCACTTTTGGTTTAGAAGATTACGGTTCCTTATTGGATACTTCCAAAAGACTACTTTTTACCTGGTGTTATTATTAAGGATAGTGCTGTACTGTAGCAGTAACCAGAATGAGTCTAAGATTTGTTCTGGCACCACAAAAAAAAACCTGTGACAGTGGACACAGGTTACAATTCTAATTGGCAGATGAAAGATAACATGATATGAGGAGGAAAACTTGCCATATAAATTAAAATATACACATATACATGCACATAAACAATATAAAATCCAAGACATATTTTAGCAACAAATCTAATTCTTTGGCAAGTGTGTGTTTTCCCCCAGTATAATATGTTCTCTTCTTAGTGTAACTCATGCAATAAAATTAGAAGCTACATTTTACAATTTATAGCAGATGCACAGAGAACGTTACACTGCCTAATGTCTTTTGAATGAAAAGATTCAAGACTACTGCATAATTCTTACCATAGCAGTTTTTGATGTTGCCGTCACTTTTTCCTGTTTCACAGGTTTGCTTTCTTTCATCACTTGACATAAATCATTAGATTTCCGTACCATTGAAAATTCATGCTTCCTCTACAACAAAATACAACAATGAATTATATTTCACTGGTTACCTATAAAGCAGGTACATGTAAGAAGAAACCTTACTTGTAGATTTGCTAAACGAGCTTGTACGTTTCGTGCTTGACCTTCCAACTTCTTGTTCAATTCAGTTACATCACTTAACTGAAAGAAGCAGAAAATATTAAACTGTCTGTAAATTCAAAACTCACATCTTAACTACTACACTGAAGTAACTTAATGTTGTTGAGCAGCTAAATTATTTAAATTTTTTCTAATTAGCATGAAAATTGATAGAAACAGAATCATCATCCACCTCCCTCAACAAGTTACAGGATCATAGACTGGCTGAGATTTGAGAGCACCTCTGGAAGACATTTTGTCCAACCCTCCAGCTCAAGTTGGGCCATGAAGAACTGGCTGCTATATCCAGACAGTTTGTGAACAGTTCCAAAGTGTGAGACTCTTACTGCCTCTGTGGGCAACCTGTTCCAGGAGAAATAGGACAGCAGCAGTATCTCGTTGACCTGCAGCCAAACCTTTCAGAGTGCAGGGGAAGAATAAGCACTACAGTGACACTCTAGGTATACAGGCACTTCACATTTGATCACTTTTCATGAAGAAGCGACATAAAAATGAGCACAAATTCAAGAATGGCGTAATAGTCATGTTAATGGGGAAGGTGGTTACTGACCACACTAAAAAAAGAGTTTGTTCAGTGAGAAAAGATCAGGCAAACTGCAACCTCCATTTAAATACAAAAAAAGCTCTAGCCATACAACAATAAACAGCATAATCACCACAGAAGCCCTCAGTTTCCACAGAAATGCAAAGATTTTATAGTGAGAGGAAATAACAAGAGAGGTGAGTTGCATCAGAACCATCAACATCCTAGGAGTTAGGTCTGCCTTTCTTAAGGGAAAGAATAAGGATCTGCAATAGATTTTTATTGTATTCGGATTATCAGAACATTGATTAGTTCAATGAATAAACAATGCTAAAATAATTTACATAATTTGTGTATCACCATTTCAGATCAGACTTAACAGCTAAGTGAGACAAATTCTTACTCTATTCATTACTATGAAACACACCATTCTAGTTTACAAATCAGGAAAATACCATTTTCATTAAAATTTTCAAAAATAACTGAAAATACTGATCAAACATGAAGTTAGAAATACACATTCTACTTTTTATTTAATAGAATCAGCATAGCAATTTAGCATAGCAAATCTGCACAGGCTGAATTCCATTATATTACAAAATACTTTCTCTCCATCCATTCTCAATGGATTTTCCCTTCCTAACAATTAGCTGCTGCTAGTGAGCCACTGGAATAAATCCTACTTCTTTTTTTATACTGTGAGAGGTCAAAAAGCCTAAATTTCAAGCACTAGAAACAGGTGAGAAAAATACTTTCAGTCATTCATACAATTCGCAATTTTGCAAACTCAAGCTGCTCAAATATTTAAAATTGTTGACTGTAACTTGTAGAATTATTCATGTCAGGAAACAAAGTTTACCTGCTTTCTTAAAGAGTCATTCACTTCCTTCAAGCTGTCAAATGATGACTTCAGCCTCCTATTTTCTTTAGTTAATTCTCTCAAGGCTTCTGTCAGCTGTTTAACCTCTGCCTCATGCTGCTGTAGAAATATCAAATTTAAGAACATGTTTTAAAGAGACTATTCCAGAAATAAAAAGTCTCAGTTAAGTGTTAATAGTCAGACAAACTTTCAAATATCAAGTTCTTCATGTCCAAATTTGCACGTCCAGTCAGCAGTGAGAAAAACAAGATCCACACTGCCTATTAAGAAGGATCTATAGAGAAACTGAGAGCAACATGCACAGCCTATAGCTCCTGCCCATATAGCTGCCTATTCTACCCTGACCAACTGTATACATGTACATTTCTCAAACAATTCAGATGTGGGATGCTTTGTGAACTAAAATCAATGACAAAGCTTTTACTTACAGCTCACTCTTCCAAATATTTACAAAAACTTGTGACTGTGGTTTGAGGTTTCAATTCATGCTTCTGGCTTTGCTTACTATGAATCAGGCAGATTGAGAAACTAATCCTATGTCTTGTAGAGACTGAGGCTCTGATTTACAACACAAGCATATGAATTATTAAATACTACCTGCATATCCACTGCTGTTCATCTCTTACCCCTGAAATTTGTTTTATATTTAATCTTCTCAGGACCTTAGATTTAAGTACTTCAGATTTGGTAAAATTGCAAGGTTTTATTTTACTGAAAATATTCCAGCTTTCATTTCTCCCCTTCCACAAATTCACTCTTTTTCACTACTCTTTCTTCCCACACCCCCAAAGTTAGGTTTGTCTTCCTCCAAACTTTTTGAGTCTTTGTTTGCTAGTACTCTATGCGATAGGTGTTATAAGACCTCCACATGTCTTAAAGCATTCCCAAGGAAATCCAGTGCAACTACAGCTAATGCTAAGATACTCATTTAACTTAAACACAATTACACACAAACCACATTTTTTTCTCTAATATTGGTCACATAGCTTTCACTACTTTACAAAATAACTACCTCCTTTTTCTAATTTGTAACTGTAAAATGTACTACACATCAGACAACTAAATGCACTATTCTGAAACAGAAGTCATACAAAAACTCTAGCAATATTGTTCAGTACCTTTTATTTAAATCTTTCCTTTGGGGATTTCAAGGACTTCAAAGAAATAAGCAGGATTTCCAGCAAGCATGGGATGGCTTAAGATAATCACAATTGAGTTAAAGGGCATATAGAGCAATATCTACCATTAAATACATTATTTCACCTCTTTCATAGCTGCAATTTTTGTGTGAACTTCTTCCTCAACACCCCTTATTTTAGCCAAAGCTGCTTCATGTGTAAAAAGCAATGCTTCTTGTTCTGTTAGACAACGCTCTCGTTTCTGCAGTTGCAGAGCATACTCCTGCTGTGCTGAACTTTGTCTCTGTATCAATAAAAAAAAAGTTAAACTACCTTAAAAACCCATGTGAAATTTTCCCAAATTATGTTGAATTTATAATTTTGTCCCATGCTTAGCTCTTTGTGAAATTATAGTTACACTGTTCAGTTTCCTCCCTCCTTAACCCAAAAGACTTCCATGTGCATTGGAATGGTTCAGCCTCCAAATATATAAAATCCAACTCTACATTGTTGCTCTAGGAAATTAAACTTTGGAATTCCAAAATATTTGGATAATGGTATTAACTGCAAGACAGAACAGAGTCTGATGTGACTGTGTTCAACACTAGATTAACAATATTGTTTCTTCAACTAAAGAGAAGCATCCCTGAAAAAGTGGTGAAGAAAAAAGAGATACAAAATTATTTTTATCTCATACGTTGCAAGAGACAGTTGTAGCAGGGAACCCAGCAGAAGCTTAGGAACTATTACAGAATAAAACCATATAGGAGGTTCTTCTGTTAGTAGCCTAAACCTGCTGGAGGTGAACTGGTGGGGTTTTGGAGGAGGCCACTAAGGCAAGCACTTTGGAATGCTTAGAGTCAGAAGAACAGTTTCAGATGTTCTCAAGACAAGCAATGGTTGTGGGTGTTTCCCTCTACACCCACAGTGTGTCACAAGACAGTCTTGGACATAGAAACACTCGTGTTCCAACTCCCTCAAGCTGAATCTGCCCATGTACCTAATCTACCCAAAATTCAAGTCCAAGCATCATTACTGAATCACTGAAATAATCTAGGAGAACAGGCAGATGAAGACAAAGATTTAGTATATAAGTAGCTGTGATTAGTATAAAGTAATAGTAAAAAACAATGTACGTTTTACTATGTAAGTAGTTTCAGATTTCTTTCTCAAAAGTGCAAATTTTCATAGCATTATTGAACAAAAATTTTAAGGTGATTCCAGTTCCTACCTGGAGCTTCTGATGTATGATAAATAATTCATCATAAATTTGACTGATGTAGGGTGGTATTAAACCTTGCCTATTGCATGCCTGAGCACCAGTCCCACGCAAAACTTTCTTTAACAAACCATGGTTGATAATTTGGTCCCTATTTTCTTCATTATTTGTAGTCAAATGTGATGGTAAAGTGAGGCCTGTGGACATGGGAAAAAATGCACTTTACATTAAAAAAAAATCAGTCCTAGCTAAATATTGATAAGATTGTTTTATCTCAAAAACGTGTTCTACGAATTCAGAGTTACAAGTATAGAGATGCAGCAAAATGTGAAAGTAATCTAAAGAATTACAGAGATTTGAACAAAGTTCTTGTTCCCTGATTTATTCAAACTGATCAAGAATCAACAGTTTTATCAGTAAAACTATTCCCTGCAATATAAAAATCCCAGAGATACCTGTATGGAATCTATGCACAGACTGAAACATGTCACCAAAATCTCCTATTATTTTTGTAAGGGCTTCAGGCAAGTGATTTGCTGCTGATTAGACCTTAGGGTGACACCTAAGTAAACTGAACAAGATTTAAGAAACTACCAGACACCACATAAGAAAATAACATTAGTATTGCTTCAAGTATGTCTGAATGTCCTAATTCTAAAGGAAATATTCATACTGATGTGAAAGGTTAAAACACCACATTAAAATACATTTTAGGTGACTAGTGTACTTCTCAACTGAATAGAAATACAATTATTAGGAAGTTTTTAAAGTTACATGTTATACTTCACAGAGAGTTGTAAGAATGTATAAAATCAAATATTTATTACCTGTTCCCATGTATAGAGCTGTATTTTGAATTTCATCAGTTTCAGAGCAAATAACATTATTTTCTTCTACTTCTAGACCACTTGAATCACAAAAAGAATCTTTCTCATCATCAATACTGGAAGTACAAAAGAGCAGTAACTTTAAATTACTCAGTTCCTTTCTAACATGACACATAACAAAGCACTGAAATAAGTCTGTATAAAAAGGGCAAACATTGCTTAATGTAAGACTTTGATATTTTACTGATAACAAATAGTAGAGTTAAATAATTTGGATACAGGCATTATTACTCACAAACCTTAACCACAGCAATTACGTGCTGCTGACTTAAAAGCTGTTACGATAACTAGGCTTTTCATGCTGTAAGCACATGTAAGTAACAAACAAAACCAACACTCTTCTCTAACTACAAACCACCAAATTCCTGGAGAACTCAACAACTAAAAAATTGTATTTTTCTAGTTTGATGGAAAATAGACCTTAAAAGAGATTTCTTGGCTACTGGAATTGAATTATCTCTAAATAAACATAAACCAACTTTTGCACACTCAAAATAACATTATTTATTTGCTGTTTATCTGAATTATGAGAGAAAATATATAATAAAGGAGAAATAAAAACACCTCCTACCAATCCCAGTGTTTCAAACTTTTTTGGAAATCACTAGATCTGATTCCGTTCTCTCTTCCAGTTTCAGAAAATTCTGATTCTAAAGAACAATTTGATAAAGAAATAGTTATATTTTTAATGAACTATCAGTACCACCTGAAATATAAAAAATTGCAACAATTTTATTTTGCATTTGAGAAGCTGACAGTAGAAATCAACAAGGACTTATTAAAAGTACTAGTTGTGTAGATTTAAGAACCAAACCCACCACTGATGCAGCCTGATGAATTACGAACTTAACTGTAACAGTTTAAGCCACAATAAGAATTACTTAGCTTTCATATCAGATTTGTCTTTCTGAAATTTTAGTTTGTCTGCCTATAGAAATTTTTCTGTAACTGAAGTCTGACATAGATTTAGCCTGCTGTCCCCATGCACCAGTTTCTTAAAGAGATCAAATGCATTCTAAATATTAAACATTTATGCATCTTTAAATTAAAGCTAAATATAGGCATCATGAAGTGGACTGCTACCAACTAACTCAAGCAGGACTTAAAGAAACAGGCTGTGAACCATTGCTCCAAAACATCCCTTGCACTCTTTACTTGTTAACACTCCCAGTCATCACAACCCCCTGATCAAGATTACCTAGCTATTTAAAATGAGAAAGTACAAAACTAAATAAATTTAGGAACAATACATCTTTAGTATGTATATACAGAAAAGATATCAAAGCACCATTGCTTTGTATTACCTTTGTAAAGTAGGGAGCTTCTGCTTTTACATTTGGTATGCAATGCTCCTGAAAGGCAATCCTACAAGAAAGCACAAAACCACTCTAGTCAGAATTTTCATGGGAAAAGTATGTTACAACTTATTGGTTTAACAGTTAAACTGTCACACCTTGTGACAGAATCCTTACTACAAACTACTGACTTTGAAAAGGGAGGTGTGTTTTTTTTTAAATACATAAATGTAAATGGTCCTCATATTAACATAAAGAGGCAAATATATTCTTTACAGTCTAATAACAAAATATTTGTAGTGTTATATGTTGGAGTGTTTGAGAAATTATAAAGCACCATGAAGACAGTAACATAAAATAAAGGCATGAAAGTAGAATTAGGTAATCGTGGAAACAGTGCCATCTACCTTCATATCCAGGCTTTTTATGCCAAAGTTTCCTGCTCTACTTTTTCTTACTAATTTATAAGTACATACCAAAAAAGTGAATTACAGAAATTTTAGGCTACAAGCAAAATCAATTAAATGCACATTACAAAATATCAGACTCAAAGCAGCTCTCATGCTCTTACTCTCTGCTACGCTCAAATGATAAACCACTGTATTTTCCTAGCCTTGAATGACCAATTTTTAATGAATTAACAAAGCACACAAACCCATGTAACATCTTCTTCCTTGCAAGCATTAAAGTCTCAGTCTTTGTAAAATAAGTTATTCTAATAACTTTCCTTTAAAGTACAGTTCCATAATTCAAAGCAGATTATTCCCCAAGAAAAATTCCCCATAGAATCTAGACCACTGTCAAATGCTATTCAAGTCGCAAATCCTTCTGCGGTAACCAAGGGCAGGTATAGCCTGATTTTAGCTGCTTAAAACCCCAAAATCTTCACATCACATTTGGGATGGTTCCTGATCCTAAAATGGCAAGGTACTTGACTTCAGAAAAAAAAAGGCTGGGTTTTGTACTCATTTAATGACTCCCAGGACTAACTCAGTATCCCAATCCAATTATGTGCCTAACTCAAACCCACTTTGAATCTCACCCGATCTTTGGCTGTTCACGGGTGTTTTTCCACCATATGACATCCCCTACAGCATGAGTATTTAAGGCTTGTTATCCCCCAGACACACTGGAAGCGTTTGACCCAGGGAATACAGATGCACAAAAACAACGGCAAAAATTGGTTTCACTGAACAACAAACAGAATTCAGGCAAAATAAAGGTGCCTGCCCAGCAAGTACTCCTTCTACTAAGTATCAAAGGCTTTTAAAACACCAGTGTGGGTTTTTTTCTGCTATATTTTTAGGCAGATAAGCTTTGACTTGTCAGCACAAGTAATAGAATGAGAGGAACCACAATACACTTCATTCATCTGAGTGCAAAGAACCTGACCTTCTCTGGTGTAAAATACCATTGCCATTCCTTAGCAAGGGAATGATAGCCATCATAATTAACTATCTGGTCATTGCAGCAGTCTCTAATGAACCATGGGTTTGATTCCTGATTGACTACATACGGAACAATTTCCTGCTCTCTGACTACAGAGCTAATCACTAAGCTGCACAAAAAAAACAACAAAAGAAAAATCACAAACACACCTAATGTATTCTAAGTAAGGCTGTCAATTACTGTAGCAAAAAAAGATTAGAAAAATGAGTTATCCTATTACATGTATTTCATACAAGCTTAGTGTACTCCTAAGAGGATTCACCAATTTTCTCAGTCAACTGGCGGGCACCAGGTCTGAGGCAAAAACTACATGCTAAACTGTGTCTTGGTACCGCAGAGAATCTGGGACTGAAATTTCCTGCTCAGACAAAGATGTCTCTTCAGCACTTCAGCTCTAAGGCAATCGGAGCGCGGGATCAGGGACAGGAATAGCAAGAACACGTAACCTCCTCAAGTCAGTTTAAATCTCGCAGGGCCCGGTACGCAACAGCACGGCGCACACAATGAACCCCGAGGGAGCGGACAGGCCCCCCGCCCTCCATCTCCTCCGAACACTTCAGGGACGCGGCGATGAAGAACTGGCTTTTCTGTGCCTCATCCTGCTCCCCGCAGGCCGCCCGCCCCGGCCCCGGCCCTGTCTCACCCCCGCCGGCCCC